ATCCGACGATAAATAACACCAGCGAATTTCCCTTGCTCGCAATAAAATTGGCCGGGATGGATTAAGGGTGCGGGAGAGACCGGGGCAGAGGTACTCTTGTTACTCGCGACGCGAAATAACGCGAGTGCGTAATGTAAACGCGACACCCCGACTGGTTTTGACGTGGGTTGACGACTGCGGGTGTCGGACAAAATCGATAATACTTGGCGAGTCGCCGCCTCGTTGGTCCAGGCCATCTCCCCGACGCCGAAGCGCGTAGGCGTCCAGAAATACATGTATACGTATAAAATATATATATATATATATCTTCGTGACGCGTTCGTACGCCGCTCCTCGGTATACACCGGGTGTTCCCGACTTTGTGACGCTTGGCGACCAAGAGAGCTCCGCCAAGTTCTTTCCGAGTCGCAGAGCAATTCAATTCGCTGATGTAATTTCATTTGCTGCTGAAATGAACAATTGCGTTCCTATTTCGTTTCCACTGGTATCTAATACGGGATTTAATTGTTTCGTAAAAAGTCATTTCGTGAATCTAATGATATATCGAGAAGTGTCAGAAAGAAACGATTTTTTCTTATTTTCGGATATTTTTCCAGCGCAAAACACGTTATTAGAGAGTTCGCAAGTCACTGAGAAAAATATCTCTTTGATATTCTGCAGAAAAATGGTTTACTTTTTAATTTAGAACAAATAGCGCGTTCCGGAAAAGATGTCCCAGTCGCGTTGGAGTCGAAACAATATTAATATCAACATATTGCTTCACATTCCGTCATATTTCATATGAAAAGCCAAGCGGCGATTTAATTCTGCAGAAGTTTCTCGGTATTTCAATTTACTGCGTAGGTATAGGACGTAAGTCTTTTTTACAATCCCAGGAGGATGAAAATTTAACGTTTTTTTTGTAAGACGAAATCGATTTAAATTTAACCTAAAATAGATATTCGTTAGTCGAATAAAAGAAAAAGATTCTGTTACGTTTCACCACCTTAAGGTTCAGTTCGTCGTACTGATTCTGATCTTAATTTTGCACACAATTCTCCAGCTATTAATTCCTAACTACCGACACGCTCGATACCTCTGGGACACCCCATATTCAAGAGAAAAGGGAAGGAAAAGAGAGAGGAGGAAAAGAGAGAGCCAAATCGAACCTACCCTCACGAACTACGCTCTTCATTCAGAGCCACCCCCACAGTCTTTCGTGTGACGTCATAGAAAGCATTGGAGCATTCACTATCCTGCGCGCGCGCAATAGGCGGAGCAGAGAGGAATAGGAAAGACAGACGAGATGATCGAGGATGCGCACATACGATCTACGTCTATGATCCAGGATTACGCTACTAATGGTAGCGGGCGATGATGGTGGTAGTGGTAGCGGTGATGGTAGCAGTAGTAGCAGTAGTAGAGGGCTTCGTACTGGCTTGCCCTCCTACACCCCCCGAGTGTCGCTGGTATTGCTGCTGCTGATGCTGATGCTGCGGTTGCGGTTGCGGTTGCTGTTGCTGCCGTTGCTGCCGCTGCTGCGCCACCATCAATCTAGCCGCTCCTCCGCCTTTCACTCGCACGAGCCTCAGTTCGCTGGTGTCCCTCATCAGCTGCGGATCTCTTCGAACGACGCAACCAGTCCGACGTTGTACTACCTGTTTAGTGTGTGTCGACGTATACTTTTTTTTAGGTAGATATACCCCGCGTCTCTTTGTTGCATCTTCCTAGGTGATTCTCGCGCTCCTACGTTTACTCGGCCTTCCGCGGCCTTCTGGGAAACGTGTTTGTTTGCGTCGCACCTGTGGATCCGTGGGTACCAGTTTCTTCATCATTATTGCGTCTTACGCTAGAGCGTCGATCCGAGGAACGCGCATCGCTCATTGAACTCGCTTCCAGTATAATAAATAGTTTTAGATGTTCATTTTTCTCGGATGTGAAGTGCCGGAAAAATGATTTGTCACAGTTCTGACTTATGTGAGAGACTTCTTTTACAAAGTTATCTATTTTTACGTTATCGTGTTCCAACATTAAGGGAATACTATGCGGTGGCAATAGCATGTCCGGTGTACGTTCCAAATCGCTACAGGTGGTGCTTTCTCTTTATTGTTCATGTTATCATGTTAAAGTTTGAAAAGAAGCTGCGTGCCGGTTGAGGATTCGCTTGCTCGTTTTCTTTTCGCGGGTCATACGAGAATAATCAAATAATAATAGCGTGAGAATACGACGATTTATGTGAGTAACCCTTTTGCTTATAACTCATATCTGACAAACGTGTGAATTTGTCTCGTTCAAATTATCTCCAGATGAATTAGGACTACTAAATTGTCAGCGTAATGAGCTCATTTGAAAGTAATATAATACATAAAACAACAGCATTTTTAAATTAATTAGCAAGAAGCTTGATCTATCTATTATCAATAGTTTCGTCTTTGTATACAGAAAGAACAGTTTTGCTAAAGTATCTAAAAATTTAGCTACAGATTTGAAAATAATTTTGTTAAATCATCAAAATAATTATGTAGGACTCAGCTGATTACTAGAATGTCACTTTTTACAGTAATGTTCATTATGCTTGAGTGTTCTCAAGTGTGACAAAATAATTTATATGTCCAACAAAATTATTTTCAGATCTGTATCTGTCTAAATCTTTAGATACTTCAATAAAATTGTTTTTTCCGTGTAGACCGTGGACCAAAATTTTAGTGAACGTCATTGTAAATATTTTAATTTGACTAAAGACGTGACATTATGAAAAATGCTGGCTGCTCCTCAGGATATTTTTTGTATCAATACATAGACGTGACGAAAATGTGTTTTTCCGGCGACAGATGTGTTTCAAAAATGTCCATTTTTCCTCCTGTTAATAAGTGGTAATAGCGATTTATTTTATGCGCGTCAAAGGCATATGATATATCCATGATCTTGATTGTGCGTAGTATCTGACAGATGATAGATCGCTTTGTTATTTCGAAACGTTGTCAGTCATGAGAAATAAAGGAGACTGTAGTTTGAAAAAATTGACTTTTTTTTATATATCCGTAAAATGACGCTCGTTTATTGACAGTTGTCGACTAATTCTTCGCAAATGATACGGAAATAGCACGTCGGAAATGTATTTCCGCCTGTGACACTCAATCAGGATTAATTTCAACAGTTTAATTGTTTAATACAAGACCGAAGTTTAGTTCAGACTTCTCAGTTCATCCCGAGATATGACCTTCGCTAAATCGACGCCAGCTTTCTCATCCATATGATATAGGACGTTCTAGAATGTGGCGCTTCCTTTTGTCTCCGTTGATTCCTTTCATTCACTGATCTTCGATCAGTTGCAATTCGAGATAGATACTTCTAATAAAGTTGAGGGTCACAATCTATTAACCTTTCGGAGTTGATGCCAAAATGTGTAACACAGTTATTGACACCAGCTCTGTAAAATCCATTTTATTTATATTAATTAAAAGACATTAGTTAATTTCAAAAAACCAGAATGAATACTAAATACTATGTTTTAGTAATATTAAATATTGTATTTTACTAAGAATAATTTGCAGATAACATAAAGAAGATTGAATTGTTTGACATTTTTTACAAAGAGACTTATAATTGAGTGGGTCCAATAAATTCACCGTCAGCTGCGGAAGATTAACATTCGATACTTATCGAATTCGAACGATTATTTAGCGTACTAGACTTGACACTGCGTTTCTAAAAACTGTTTGAGATTACAGACCGAATTTCCGATCACATATCTTTCGTAACGTCTTACTACGAATCTGATTCGTAGTAAGACATAATTGTTTTCAAAGAGATATACCTATTATCGCAAAAACACGTACGGTACACAAACAAGCAAATCTGATAATAATCAATAGGCTGATTTCTGCCGACAGGTTGGTGCCGCGTAAAGCTCTGCACAGCAACCCGAACTCAAATGCCGGATATGAACTAGAAATTCATTACGAATAACGTCATTCCTTGTTACTGGTTTTCATCGGTATTTTTGTCGAGAGAAAAAAATCGGCTTTGATCTCACGCCGAAAGATTAAGAATTCCTAAACTATACCTGAACTCGGTAAATTGCCGATTAGATACGTATATTCACGCTACTTTTGATAAAAAAAAGCGCGTGCTCCAATATTGCGCAATTGAAATTTCAACAGTCAAAGGATATCGTATTATGCCGGAATATCGACTTGTTGCGCTTTTCTGAACGGCACCCGCGTACGAAAGCCAATAGCCGAGGGCTTTATATACGCGTTGGTTGACTGGCTCGCGTACGTCGCACACCCGGACGTAACCTCGTGGCATTTTCTCGCCATGCACCCGTACACTTTAAGCACCATGACATAGATACTCGTCGAAGGGCGTGCTCGGTGATGCACTCGTCGGAAATTCGCGCGATGCACGCGGGAGAGATGCTAAAAACCTTTTTTTTTCACCTTTACCGACCTTAGTCTTTTGGGTCAGAGCGTGACATTGTACAACATCACGCGAGTTTTGAAAGCATTAGCATACGAAGACCTTTATTATCGCGGTTCTACATTTATCAGAAAGATACAATTTTCCGTATTAGTGTAACATATTTGCATATCTTATCTGCATATGCATACACATTTTTTTTATAGAGGATGAATATAGTTTAGAAAAAAAATCGCGCGCGTTTAATTTATTATTGTCATTTTATAGATTAATGCGAATAATATGATAATAAATCGTTTAAAAATAATATCGAAAATTTTATCGAAATAATAATCTGCTTATAAAAATATATCTTAGAAAAATTATTTAAAAAATATTATTCAGAAATCGTATAAGAACATACTTTTGTGTTTATTGCCTCTTTACAAATATTTCGTAAAATCCTTTATAAAAAAAATAGAAAGTTCTAATTTTATTTTCTTATCAAAAAATGTATAATTAATCAAATAAAATCATAACATTTACAATATTCGTTTACGTAATTCTGTATCGCTTGCAAGAGAGTCACGTAAAAGTTTCGTCTTTTGTATTTGTTGCAGTGTGGCTCTCTGGAGATCGGCGAGGAACGCCAGCGTCGGGTCGCTATGATGGAGTCGCTCTGCCAGGTGAACGGCAGTAAGACCAACGGCATCGGCAATGGAGATCTTAATAACAAGACCAACAATAACAACACGAACAATAATAACAATACCCACAATAACAATAATCACAACAACAATAACAATAATAACAATAACAGCAATGCTACCGATTGTCCGGATCCTCAGCAGAGGTTGGCGGTGTTGAGTTTTGAGCAGGTCCGCCGCCTGAACGATGTGATGAACGAAGTCGTCAGCATTCACGGCCGAGGGAACTTCCCCACCTTGGAGGTCCGATTGAGGGATCTCGTGACGGTGGTGCGCAGCAAGCTAGAAACCGATCCGAGCAACGGGGGTGCCGGCATGAGGGTACGCGACATCCGACTGAACGGAGGCGCCGCTTCCCACGTGTTGGCCACCGAGTCCCAGCCGTACAACGACCTGGACCTTATCTTCGCGGTCGAGCTGTCCAGCGGCCGTAATTACGACAAGGTCAAGGCCGCAGTGCTCGGCTCCCTGTTTGACCTGCTGCCGGAAGGCGTGAGCCGCAAACGCATCACCACCTGCAGTCTGAAGGAGGCTTACGTAAGCAAGATGGTGAAAGTGAACAACGATGGCGATCGGTGGTCCCTGATCTCCCTCGGCAACTCCCGGGGCCATCGAAATGTCGAGCTCAAGTTCGTCGACTCGATGAGACGGCAATTTGAATTCTCCGTCGACTCCTTTCAAATCGTTCTCGATTCCTTGCTGCTGTTCTACGAGTGCAGCAAGCTGCCAATCGCCGAGAACTTCTACCCGACCGTGGTTGGCGAGTCCGTCTACGGTGATTTTCAAGAAGCGCTCTATCATCTGCACAAGAAGCTCATCTCGACGAGGCATCCTGAAGAGATACGCGGCGGCGGCCTACTCAAATATTGCAATCTATTGGTGAAGATGTACAAACCGTCTCAGCCGGATTACATCAAGACGCTCGAACGATATATGTGTTCGAGATTCTTCATTGATTTCCCGGACATAGGACAACAGCGCTCCAAACTTGAGAACTACTTGTGGAATCACTTCGTCGGGCCCGAGGAGGAGGCCCTCAAGTATCAGTACCTGATGCTACTGCATAGCGTTGTCGAGGAATCTACCGTGTGCCTGATGGGCCACGAGCGACGGCAAACACTCGCATTGATTCAGAACCTTGCCTACCAGGTGCTCTGCCAGGAGCAGCAGCAGCGGTTGACGAGTCATCAGCAGGCGCCGCAAGGTCCGCCTGCCACCTACGTCTACGCCAACGGTTATTACTATGCGCCCGTGATACCCACAACGGCATGCTACACGTGCACCTGCAACTGGATGGCGTGCTCCTCGTGATGCGACGATATCGGCGATAACGTCGTATCCGTAGACGTCGCCACCGCTACCACCGACATCTCCACCATCACTACTACCACCACCACCACCACCACCACCACCACCACTACCACGATCACTGATTGTTGCTGCTTTAACCGACTTACAATCAGTCACGTCGATTCTTACAATCATTGGTATCAAAGATATCAATTGAGAGAGTGCGATTTCTGTTACCTCTGCTTTTACGGCCTCTACTGTCCTTTCGAAGATCCTGGAGACTTTTGTTGCGCTTGTGGTCCTTGCGAAGTGTCCAAAAATGTGGAGGCAGATATTGATCGTTCCGTGTCCGACGTCAAAGAATCTAAGCTCCTTAGTTGACGTTCGTCGGGGTGATGCGAGCTTGGGTGCAGGAACGGTATACGAAAGAAGTTATCTCTTCGGCATCGAGGATGATCATCTGCAAATGCAGTAACAATAAAATCGTGGATCGAAAGGCGGCGTATTCGGACGATGAACGTATGATATCGTCGATGATGTGAAAAACGGTAGGCAAGTATGAGACACGAAGCATTCTTATCGTGAGTCTTCGGCCTTCCGTCGCGAGTGCTGCTCTTTCTAAGCATTCGTAAACGTATTTCGGTGGCGGTCGCTGCAGCAAAGTTCGGACCGAACGCTGGTACCGGCTACAGTTGCGGTGTAAAACAACCAAAAGACTATAAAGACTCCAGAAACGATGTGTTGTGCCTAAAAATAAAAATATAAAAAGAGATCGGAGAAGACTAGAAAAAGATACGACGAAAAAAAACGTTCCTCCGATGAGTTATAAAAAAAAAGACAGACATAACCGTAGTAGTAAAAGGGCAGGATGGTCTTAGATTAGTGGAACGAGCGCCGCTTTTATTGACTAAATATGAATTTTCGGAGAATAGATATCGACATCGTCCCGGAACGAGCGTTTGTCGATGAAACGGACGTCGACGTTGCGTACAGCGAATTCTGGACGAGGCCACGTTAAGGAGGAAGCGGAAACGAAGAGAGAAGAACCGAAGGTGGACGCGAGGCGGAATATTCCACGATGGAACTTCGGACAAACAGGGAGGAGAGGAGAGAATGTTCGAATGAACAGACGGCTCGAGCGAGGCACGATCCCCCTGTTTTGATCTTTCCTTTGTCTCCTCCTGCTTGATTTTTCTCTTGCAAAGCTGATCGCGTGCCGGACAGCAAGGGCAGGGAGAGACAGAGATACGTAAGAGATGGAAAAGGGCTGTTTTTTCGGTGAGGGAGGAAACACGTTGCGAACTACGGAAAAATATATAAATATATATAAATATAAATATATTTAAATATATACAGATATATGTATAAATTTATGTATAAATAATTAATGTGTGGCTGTGAACACATTTCATTTAGATACTGTGTATAACGTGATAAGATTTAATTCGGGAAGATGATGTTAGCGGGGCGGCACAGCCGGGGGAACGAGAGGGGGAACGAGCATGGCAGTGCGCGCGAATCGAAAGGGAAACGCTTCCGAGCCGCGTTTCTTTCATTTCTGCGAGAACTCGAGCGAGCGTAAATACGAGACACACACACACACACACACACACACACACACACACACCAACAAACAAACACACGTACATATATATACTCGCAAGGATGTACATTTACATATCCATGTACACCGGACGTGTCTGATCGACCGTGGCTTTTCTTAGGCGATAAATACCACATGAGTGCTGAGACACGGCACTAAAAAGGAAATTATAGCTGCAATCGCTTTTTAATGGGGGATGATTAGATTTCTCTCCCCGTAAGAGAGCCGGATATGAACCCCGCGTAACGCGAAGAAAAACCTTGCGGTTATAATAATGCGGTTATAATAATCCGAGTTACGGCGAGATATATCGAGGATGAGCGCGGAGAAGAGTATTCAGAAAATATTTTTCGAAATGTTTGCAAAGCAGTCCGAGAGTAGAGGGTAATTTCGAGCATGTCAAAATACCGTGATACGTTTCAGTATATCCAATGCCATTGTTTCGACAATCGCGCCGTAGCTCGCCCGAAATTCCGTCTCACATTCTCGTACGCGCCAAGCGAAGATTTTGGTCCATTCCATCTGAAAACTACTACATCTATCACGTCATTTTTTTTTATCTCTTTATTTACTCACATATTATCGTTGAAAGAAACTGCGGTTGTCGGTGACAATAAAATCCCGCGCGCAGCAAAATAATCACGGGTCCCGAATATTCGTTTGGAAGGTGGCACGTTCCTGCAGCCTGAAACTCGCGGCGTGCAAGCGTTTCGAGAAAAAGAAGTAAAGGGTGATGATTGGGGCTAGGGGCACAGGCAGAGACCGAGCGAAAGAAAAAGAGGATGAGATAGAAGTGAGAACGCAAGACTAGGGAGCATAAAACTACCTATTCCTCTGTGTATGTTGATTCGAACGGAACGCGACTTGTGTTGAACAAAAGGGAGGTAATGTCACGAATCACGGCTGATCAGCACGACGTAACAGACCCGGTCTCTCTCTTTCTCTCTTAGCGGCGACTGGAGGCCCGCATTTTCTTTACTAAACATCGTAAACATTCAGTACCGCGTGCGCGCGCGCGCGCATGCATCCGCGTGTGTATACGCGCGTTATACATACGCGGAGGCGGCGACGACGTGGCGCTCCGGAGTCTTACATGCGTGTAAGTGGATGCATGTATATATGCATAAGATATACATGCACATGTACGTACTTTTATGTACACACTTCTCTATTTTCTCCTCTTTTCCTCATCTCTTTCTTCGTACACACTTCGCGCGCGTATGTGTCCGTCTCTGCGTATGTCGCGTGCATGCGTGCGTGCGTGCGTGCGTGCGTGCGTGCGTGCGTGCGTGCG